AAAAAACTCCAAAGGCTTGTCTTTTAATGCAGGGTGCTTGGTCTCCATGTGGTGAAGTTTTGAAAGTTTCATGGCTTCGTTGGATAGTTGGTCACCACATATTATACAAAGTGGGCTTCGAGAATGTGAGTCACCTGTTAAAATGAACCTGTAATTTAGGTAGGACTCTTGGTCTTTTAAATGCAGCTTTCTTTTTGTTGGCAGTCTTACAGTCTTCTGCTGCATCATCATTGGGTCCCTTCCCCTTTCCAAAGAAGTTCTCCAGTGACATTTGTTTTTACTCATTTTGGCTATGTTTAGCTTGTGGGATTACTGAAACTGTGACTGAGACAAGTGCAGAGTGTGTGAAAGAGGCGTGGCCAGAAGTGGTAAATAAAATAATGTGTGGGCCATGCTCAGGCTAAAATAAATGTTGGATTCTGACTTAAATCCTGCCACCAGATGCAGCTGTACAATTGAAGTACATCAACTCACTTGCTGCTATACAGCCTGCCACCAGATGCAGCTCCATTGTCACTTGCCACTCACCAATGGAGTTTTGCTATGAGTCTGCAAGCAATTGATTTATTATGGTCTCTGTGCAGTCAAACCTGTCTTCTAATGATAATCTGTATTTGCAGCCACTCCCCAGCACTAGCATCACTGCCTCAGCTCCACTTCAGATCATCAGGCATTAGATTCTCATAAGGAGCATGCAACCTAAATCCCTCACATGTGCAGTTCACAGTAGGGTTCATGTTCCTATGAGAATCTAATGCTGCCCCTGATCTGACAGGTGGAGCTCAGTAATGCAAGAGATGGGGAGCAGCTGTAAACACAGGTGAAGCTTGCTCACCCATCGCTCACCTCCTGCTGTGCGGCCTGGTTCCTATCAGGCAAAGGACCAGTATAGTGGCTGGGAGGTTGGCTACTATACAGAAAGAAGCTCCAACCGACCAAGCAACCTGGCCAGGGCAGTATTTTTCAGAGACTTAAAAAAATTTTATATAAGTATGTAGAAATATAAAATTATTCAAATAAAAAATATAAGAATAATTATTGTGATACATTTTCCTATTGGTTGGAATTTTGAACATTGACAATATTTGACTCATTTCATTGTGTAAAAATATTCCTTGTCTATGTTGTGATAGACTTTTGTTATGGCAAGTTGCTCCCCAAGTATTTGAATGTAGGATAGTGAGATTTCCTTATGAAAATTAAACTTTAAAGCCAAAACATATTATGAAACATTGCCTGAAAGGACCAAATGACCCTCAAACCTAAAACAGTTCATTAAAACCAATTTGAGTACTAACATTGCTAAAGAAAGACTATTCAGCTAGGAAGAATAGTCAGCAGCCAGGAGATCATGGACAAAGGAAGGTCACTGGGTCAAATGCTGATAGTATCCATCAAGTCCAATGTAGGGAATTGGGTGCTCGGCCTGTCTAACACCTCTGATGACCTATCTAGATATAGATGAGATATCTTTACTTTGAACCATCAAATATTTGAATTTTATAACTGACCCATCTAGCTTTGGTACTGTGTTCACAAAAAGGACTTCTGTTTGCAGTGTGGCTTTCCAAGGTGATGGACTTGAGAGACAATAATACCTCAGCAGTCATGTACTATACATTAGTAAATTTTGGTAAATGAACAAAATTGTGTCTCTTAGGGTGCAGGTTTAAAAGGAACACACCTTGACACATTCACTGAGGATTCTTGAGGGACAGCTGACCTTCCCTTTTAGTATTCACTTTACCTACATTCTCCAATAATTTTTTCTAGAACATGTGTGACTTTGAGATACATTCTTTATTATATGTGACCCGGTACTATAGCTGCTTACTGTAAATAAACATAAAAAATGTGGGGTTGGGCAACAAATAAATTGAATTAAAAAATTAACCGTGAAAACCTCTGCAAGCGTTCAGAACCCTCAACTCCCATGAAACTTGTATGTACAACTTATATGTTTGCCCTGTTCTTATCTGTTTACAGCTTTTTTTCCCTCTGAACATACTTCAAGCTGCCTAAGGCCAGGGACCATATTTTACTTCTTATCGACCTCATTGTGCTTAAGCAGCGTACCATGAAATGAATGAAATTCAGAAACTATGGCAGTTGTTAAAAAAATACAGCCTTTCTGCTTCTGTGTATATTTTTTTACAGAAAGGAATTAGTGTTAGAAGCAACAGGGAAAAAAAGCATTATAAGGATAAAGGCTTTAACAGATTCACATGGAGGCATGACGAACTATTTGGTTTGTGGCTATGGCCAGAACAGGCCAGATGCTTGTTTGATTTATGTTCTGTGAAGGAAGTATGTTTGATGTGAGTGTGCTAGTTCACATAATTAATTTAAAACAGGACTTATATTCTTCTTAACCCAATTTAAAACTTAAAACTTAACCAACCATCAGTCAACAGAAAATATATTTGCAGAATTTTTCTTTGGAAGAATACTAATGTTTCATTCTGTCAGCATTTTATGCTTCTAAATAGGTAATTATTTTACCTACTTTAAAATTTCTGCTGGATTTAGATGATGTTGAGATAGTTTGTTTAAAAAATCTTAGTATGTCAACATTGAATAATTTTGTATATATCTGTGTTCTGTAGTAAAAGTCATAGTAGCCTTTAGACTAGATTTTATTGACCCATTTAATTCCCTTACCTCTCATATGCAATGCCCAAATCCTATCCCTTTTAACCAACAAGCATATCTGGAATCTATTTCTGTCCATTCCTACTGTGATCTTTATCCCTGTTCAAAGTTCTGTAACTTGTCACTCTTCCTCCAATTTTGTTTTACTCAATGGACTCTCCAGTGGAGCCAGGATAGTCTAAAGCTATGATACTGATCATGTTGATGACCTCTCATTCTCCTAAGCATAAACCTCAAACTCTTTGAATGGCTTCTGAGGCTTCGGGTTATTGCACTTCCGCTTACCTCTCTGTCCTGCTTACCCTTTATAGTGTAACGATGCTGTGCTTATCATTCTTGAATGTGACCTGCTCAGGATCTTCTCCATTTTAATAGTAATTACTTCGGGAGATCCTTTCTGTTCTCTAGATCAGGATCAGATGCTCTTTTGTTGCTCTCATATCTCTTGTTTCTTCTGTTAAAACAAAACATTCTTGTTTAATTATCTGCTTTTGTAATGATGTATTTTTGTCCTTGTGGGGTCTCCAGAACCTGTACAGTATCTGACATGTAGACAGTGTTTAATATTTTATATGTGAATATAGAAAGGGATGTGGTGTAGTTTATGAGAGCCTTAGAGAGAAGATAGGTCTTCAAGAATGAGCACCTTTTTTTATTGCAGTAAAAGAATAAATACTGCATAGATGAGACATATTTCCCTGCATATAATTTTTCATTCAAGCAGGTCATTGTGTGCATTTAGGTAAAATACCAAACCCTTTGTCTGAACTTATGCAGTTAGAAGCAGTAATTTCTCTAAGGGGATGGTACGGATCAAGCTTTAAAGAAGCCTAATTTCCTTATTTTATACAAATAAATATATAATTTTAGGGTATAATAACTTCCCCCCAAATTTATTGAGATACAATCGATGTAACAGTGTGTATGTTTAGGGTGTGCAGCACATTGATTTGCCACTCACCTATTTGATACACTTTTATATTGCAAAATGATCAGCACCATAGTACAATTTCTAAGTATTTAGTAGAATATTGTCAACTGTAACCACTATGCTGTGCATTGGATCCCCAGAACTTTCCTCCCATAACTGGTCTTTGTACTCTGTGACCAACATCGCCCCTTTCCCCCACCTCTCAAGCCCCAATACTTAGGACTCATTTTGACTAGTTTTCGTGATAATACATATTATGCTTATCAAATGTTGTGAGTGGGAGGAGGGAAATTATACTGATTTGTTACGAGTCTACATTTATCTAAAAACATTTTCTGTATAGCACTTTAGCTGTTATTAAATTTAATTTAGTTTATTTCACAGGTATATAAATAGTGTTGCTAGGTATACAAATGAAGTGTTTATTAACTCAGATTATCCATAATGGGAAACCTCTTTTAGGGTAATAAGTTGTACTTGTTCTAATTTCAAATTCAGATGGATTGACAATAATTTTATTCTATTTTTGTTTTATTTCTAAAACATAATTTTGTCACTTGGTAAAGAGAAAATATTTTTAAATATAATTTTAGAGGATATTGGTTCTCTATTATCAGACTACTTTATCAGTCTTAAAATGTCCTGATTCTACTATTTTGTAGTAAAAGAAAGCATTATAGGAACTTTAATGAGCACAAATAAGACACAATGAAAAATCACAAGAAAAAGGTCAATAACTTAATACAGGTTTCATTCCTAGACTTACCACGCACTTTCGGGATACTTGCACATTGTCTTTTCCAGAAGATGTTAAATAAACATATAAAGGTATTTTGATTTGCAGCATGTTGGTCTGGAAAATATGAAAAAAAAAAGTTCCTGAGAAAAGTGAAATGCTTTTACCTACTTATCAGTCTACTGTTACACACAATTATTGAAGATTGACAGAATAAAAAAATTTCAGGTTTAGGGACTTCTCATTTTAACAGATTGGCTGACTGACCATACACAAAGTTTGGAGGGAAGATTACCTTTAAAAAAGGACGGTTTTTCTTGTTAAATCATTATTCTACAGCTTAGTCACATATAGAGAGAACTGCCTGATAATTAAGAATTGCCATTTTAACATGATATTTGCAACAGATACATTGATACTTAATTAAACAGAACATTACTTATTTTTAAAGAGCTGGAAAAAAAATAAAACTCTCCTGGCAATTGAAATCTTTGTAGTAGCAGAAGTGGGGAATCTGGATGATGTGGATCATTCTGTGTTTGATGATGCAGAATTGCTCTAAGCAGTAAGCTTACTATTTTCAGAGAGCATTAGCAGCTTCAGCAAATAGCAAACACAACTGTGTCATTCTCCCTTAATACAGGGTGTTTGTAACTGCAAAGGGGAGACAATAAGCAGTACTCGTGTATGAGATCTGATATCTTCATTATGGCTTAAAAAAAATACCGGAAAAGATACTGATGGACTAATCTGCTGTTTGATGTTTTCTTCACTAGCCCTGAAGATGCTGAGACATAGAGATGGCTGTGATTATCTTTTGTAAGACAGGAAATGCAATCTTTAGGGGTTTCTGGAAATAGAAAGGTCATGCAGTCTGGAACCTGTGAACCTTTTCAGTCTCTAAGTCATCAGGTATGACCTCATGAGTTACGATAATACTATTAGATTATAAAGTTATCGCTTTTTCTAGCCCTTAATCATTTGGGATATATTAACCTATGTGATTGTTTATTATTAGATTTTCCAAAGGATATTTGAACAAGTAATATTTAGAGTAATAGACACCAACTAAACAATATGATTTTTGGAAATGTGTGTATGTATTTGAGCTTGTGTTTACTTTAGCTTTTATGTGGGAAAGTGGGGATTGAGGAAAAGATTCTTTTTGTGTGATTATAATCAGGGTTTGGGGCTTTACAGATTTTTCCAGATTAAGGATGAATACTGTATCTTTTATTGGGAATGATAAAAAGAGCATGCATTGTTCAAGTTGATAAGGATACTTTATATCTACCTGCTTCTATATAGTGACATATTAAAACAGTTTTATTTTGAATTTCCTGGTTAGAAATAGATGTTGCCACCATTATAGTGTGCAACCACACAGCAACACCAGTGTGATGAGTAGAGTCATGTTTATTAGCATCTGAGCTATAAGCTGATTTCCTGAAATTTTTATTTCAGTATCTAAACTGTCTTAAAAGGCATTGTTTTTAATAATTTCTCAGGTCTATTGAAATAATGATGTCCTTTGTCCTCTTAACATCGACATCTACTAATGCATTGCTTACAGATGAAAGCAGATGATAAATCTTTTTTTTTAAAGAAAGCTTGTGACATTTAAGCTTGTTTAAGGTTTTTGACCCAGAGATATTCTTTCTGCATTTGCTTACTTTCACTTTCAGAATGAAAATACTTGACCACACTTGGGATATTAACTACAAAGAGTAGAGAATCATCACAGCAAAGAATTTGGATTTATATATCCATTTTATCCTGAAGCACTCTTATTTTAAACTGTTTTTACCTATCAAGTTATAATACAATTAACTTTGGTCTGTGGTAGCATATATTTGAGAATTACATGCTTGAGTAATTAGAAACTGTGCCTGTGTTTGACATTCTGATTATGAAGGAAATATATTTTACTTTTTTTTGTATTATACATATTTCTGCCTCAATTTTAGAGGACTTGGTGGTTACTTCACTAGGCATTCCATATTATATGAGCAAAGAGAGGTAAAATGCTGCAGCATTTCTCAAGAGAAAGATAGTTTTGTGTTTGTGATTTTGAGGCATGATTAGGATTTAAGGCTTCTTTAGGGTGAAGTGATATAGTATGGAAAATGAATATATTTGTCAAAAGACTGAAGTGGAAGTCCAAAACAGTGATTTATTTAATTCAATTCTCCTTTTTAATTAAAACCACATTGAAAAATTATACCTACTGATATTGGCTATAATTTATATGTTATTCAGGCTACTTAGCCAGCTTATATTCGTATTAGTAGGGAAGATTGCCATATTTTAAGCTTGATTAGTTTTGGAATGATTTGAATATACCTTTTAGTTGCTACAAAACCTGTTTAATCTGTTAGAATTTATTTTCAGTATTTGCATGTATTAGTCACTGTGAGTACATTCTGTTTCTTGGCATTGCTTTGGGATTCCTCTAAGTATTGGTTTCACAGCATTCTGCTATTTTCACTCTATTTATGACCTTTCAAAAGAGCCAAATCATAAAGATTTTTTGGTTTCTTTCCTTGCATGGTACTCAAATAAGGATATCTGAAAAGTTTTGTAAGATGAAAAAGCTTACTTTCTTAGAGTTATTCTTTTACAAATAGGAGAGATTCTCTCTTGTTGCTATGTCGAAATACATTACATTAAAAAGTAAGGATTGGTTAGAATGTCACAGACATTTAAGTGTAGTGTCAACCATTTTGCCTGTCCAGCAAGATGATCTTGACATTTTGAATGGTAAAACTCACTGTAAGTCTGCCTAATAACAATATATCACCTTCTTTTTATAATGGTTGTCTCTGTCTATACCACTTTACATGTGCATTTCATTACATATCATAAAGATTTCTAAAGATAAGCTATCTTAATCAACTATTTGAGGAACTGTTCAATTCAGTACTCATTATGTGCAAACTGGTCATTTGCACATTTCTCTCTTGGTTGTTGTAGGGAATACAGAAAAGAAAGTTGTTTCCTGCTACCAAGATAATGAGAAAATGTACATGAGCTATGTCTACATTTTGAATTGACCTTTCAATGGTTGTATGCTACAATCAGTTTTAATTTATAAACTGATGATCCTATAATGAGTTATTCATAACTCTTTTTTCTCATGCAAATGTCTTGGTATTAGAGAAATAAAAGATTGAGTCAAACTATATAATCAAGCATTTAATAATTTTGAAAACTGCATTTAGTTCTTATAACACATAATTTGTTTCACCAGGACATTATAAATTGAATCAATAAAATGACCTTGTACATTTTATAAGCCATAGTTGTTCATTTATTTTGAGAGCGAAGGTCAGTCTAGCTCATTTGCAGGTGGCAGAAGCAGGGTCCCCAAGAGTTAGCTCAAAACAGGAATGTGACCAATCCAGTCTAATTCCAGGCTGTGCATAATTATGTATTTTGAAAGGGAGTTTTGACTTCATAGGGATTAAACTTTTAGAAATAAAGAGTAGCAAGCTTGGGAGTGTTTACTGCCAACAAAGTCATTTGGGAAGTCCTTTGTACGAATGGGGGGGAGGAGATAAGTTTCACCTCAGGCTCTGAGAAAGGGAAATGGGAGGAACTAGTACGGAAGTGGGCCTTAGCCAGCTGGCTGTTGGACATCCAGGGACTGCTCTCTGCTCTTTCATACTAGTATGCTGGTGGAAAGCATCGGGGGTGGGTAGAGCATATGCAAAACCCTTGTTTCCTCAGGACCCCAAGCTGGGGCATGCTGCCCAATAGTGCCTCCAAAGCACCTGTTTTCTGGTACTAGAGCATAAAAATTGATTTGTAAATTCTTCTGGTTTGTATAGTCTGATGGGTAAGCATCCAGACTGCCACATTCATGAGTTGAAATCTTAGCTATACCACTTACCAGTGGTGTGATCTGGGGCAGGTTACTTAACCTTGCTGGGAATCAGTTTCCTTATTTGTTAATGTAGGGTGTTAGTAATGGCAACTACCTCAAAGAGTTGTGAAGACCAAGTGAGTTAATGTGTATTGTATAACAGCACTTAGAAGAGTAACAAGCACATCACTGCCAACATTAACAATTGACAGGTATTATTATATGCATTCAAAGACATAGGATGGCTTATTGGCAAGTGTTGGTAATGGTAGTCATGAAGTTTAGTTTTGTTCCCTCTCTCATTCTCCTTATCAGATAAAAATTGAGTCAAAAACATGGTACACCACATAAAGATGATTATAAAAAAAGGTAAGCAAAGAAAACATGCTACCTTTGATTAAGTTCTAACATTTACTGACTATAGTAATTGTAATGATGAAAAATTTTGTGTTTAAAGTTTTTTGCATCTGCTTACTAGGCTGATTTAAGCTTCTATAGTATTCTGTATGTAGATCCTTTGCTTTTTTTTATGTTATACCAAGTACATTCATTATCAAAAAGTTTTTGGGCTTCTAGGAAAATTTAATAGCAATGTTGGGTCTTTTTTTAGTTATAATTGAATAGTAAAATTAAGGAGTAAAATCAAAGTTTAAAGAAAATAATAGAAACAAGTTATATAGCTTAGATTTCATGATGTGAGTTATTTTTTAAATCATAAAAAAACCTAGGATAAAAAACTTCACTGATGCCCTGGCTGGTGTAGCTCAGTGGATTGACTGCCAGCCTGTAAACTGAAAGATTACAGGTTCAATTTCCAGTCAGGGCACATTCCTGGGTTGTAGGCCATGTTCCTGGCAGGGGGGTGGGCTGGCATGTGAGAGGCAACTCAATGTTTTTCTCTCTCACTTTCCCCCTGCCTTCCCCTCTCTCTAAAAGTAAATAAAATCTTCAAAAAAATAAAAAAAAATTAAAACTTCACTGAAAGTTAAATGCACTTTGCTTTAGTAATTATATTTTTAATGAATATTATCATAAATGAAGTACTAATATGAAATATGTTGTACAGTACTGTATATGAATAGAATATTTCAAGTTTCTATTTGATAAAGAATAATATTTTGAATCACTGATGATTATTTAATATAAAAACATCTATTTGCTTAAAAAATTGTCATGCTTCTAAGTACAAGTGAATAATTTGGCATTAGGATGAAATCTAAATGGTTAAGTGTTACATTTTGTGACATCTTTGCATTTTAGTTGTCTTCTCTTGAGCAATTTTCTTAATGTACAGCTATTTCCCCCAAATTGGCACAGTATCACACTAACCTCAGCATAATTCAATTTGTTAAAACAAACAATCATACAGAACCCTACAGTGTTTTGGTCACAGTACTGGGCAAAGATATAAACACCGATGGGTTACTTCCTTCAGAAGGTCATAGCTAGTGAGTCATACACTCTAACTGCCTGTAACTATAACACAATGAGGAAAGTAGTGAGTGCCACAGAGATTCAAAAGAGAGATGAAAAAAGCAAAAGTATCCTTCTGTGAGCACAATGGGTAGGATATTTCAAACTGAGTAGGGAGGGGAGAGGAGAGGCAGGCTAAATGGAATATTTGGGAAATATGAAAAAGGTAGCCTCTGAGGTAGATCTTGAAGACTGAACAAGATAGGGGAAAGGTCATTTCAGACAGAGGAAACAACATGAGCAAAGATAGGGAAGCAGAAAGCAAGTAATACACTTGAGTAGTACGGATAGTTCATTTTGGCCATGGCCCAGTGGGGTAAGTTAGACGATTATCGCAGGGAAGGTTTGTTGGGACCAGATAGAGTCAAGTCTTGAGTATTAGATTATGATTTCTAAACTAAGAGCATTTCTATGCTGATCTACTTATTCTTGGAAGAGAATAAAATAAAAAACAAAAGAGCAGTACCTATATTTTACAGTCATTTTCATAGCTCTAACCCTCCTGAGACTTTGGAAATGAAAATTAAATTCCTGAGTAGATTATTAGTAGTTAGTAGACAAGGTAGGGGGTAGA